TTTGACTTTAGGATTTTAGGTATAAAGTAGCAATCAATAAATACATACCTTTTTGGAATGCATGAGAAGAGATCTTGTAAAAAGGTATTTCATCTCTTTTTCTGTGGTCACATTTATACCGATCTGTATCACTAATATATTTTAAACTCTGATCCAAAATCTGCAGAAATTAGAGGAATCCTTTTTAGGTTTAGGACCTGACTTTGTAGGTTTTGCTCAGATTAGTGCTCCCTGCCATCATTAATATATTCAAAAGAAACGAAGTCAAACTTTGTTTGCAACATCTTCCATAGTCTCTGATTTCCGCATGCTTTCCAAGAGGAATGACAACTCTAGTGCCAGAATCTACATCATCCAACTGTCCAGATGGCACCTTCATATTAACCATTAATGACATTTACATTTACATTGTACTGAAGACTCTTAAAGGTGTTCATGCAATTCTTTTCTTTTCCTTGTTACGGTGTGGTGCGGTTAGACTTTTTTATTTTGTTGCTGCTTCACTTTGAACATGACAAGTGGGTTGTTTTTAATTTAGCTGTTGAGCTCATCATCAATATTAGTTGCATCTGCAGCTGTGAATTTTCAAAAACAATATCCTATGCTGTTTTCTTTATGAAAAAAGAAAACAACCCTTTCACTTTCTCATACAAGACTAGAGGAAGTAAGCCAACAGATGCCATTTTAAAATAACGGATAGTTGCCAAAGAACCCAGGTAATAAAGTCCACAATCTAACAGCTGCACTTATTTCCGTTAATCATGATTTTAATTCATTTAGCTTTAATGAATGAAACTCAACCCACATCAGCAAATTTGCAAATACTGAGCAAAACAAAAGGAGCGCCCACCAATTACCGTTGGTGCTGGCAGCACTGAGGAGGAAGAGGAGGCAGGGACTCAGGCGAGGCAGGGATGCCCGTGGCGAGTCAGCAAGTGCCCAGCCCCGAGAGGGGGATGGAGCCAGCCTGGCAGGGTGATGCCCGTGCCTGGGCACCTGCTATGCTGTGGTTGTCCTTCAGGTGCCAGCAGCCACCGCCCTGCTTACACAGCCGGCCAAGCAGAGCTCTGAAATTATCCTCTGGCCTGCCCTTTACCGCTCTGAGAGCTGATGAAGACGGCTCTGTCTTTTAGGTTACATCCTGAATCCATACCCTAGCTGCTAATGCACAGGCGTGACCCCAGGGTCCTTCACACACAGTCTGACCAATCTCTACCTCGCCTTTGCTTTGCCTCCATTTTCATGTGTGCGCCTCACTCGACATCTTTGTATTTGATTATTTTCTTTGTAATGCTGCTGCGTGGTGGGTATTCTTCCTTGCTCCACTGCTGAGCACAACTGCATGTCGGTGCCTGGTGAAATGATATATAGGTATCCACTCACCTGGCTGTAATAAATATTTTCACACGTCATTGAGGAGCTGAGCTAGCTCCAATGGCCTATTTCCCTGGTTCACAACCCTACACTGAGAAATTTATACAGGCCGCAAGTAACAGTGTTGTCTCATAAATTAATGTGTGGTAGTGTGACGTGCAGCTGCACCAACTGCGCTTTAGATGCAGGTGTTAGAGCAGAGAGTCAGGAGGACAACAGAGATCAACAAGAGCCGTCTGACAGAGAAGCCTGGGAAATTAAAGGTGCTACAGAATTTAAAGTGAAGCCTGTGGGAGTAATTAAAGACAACTGCATATGACTGTGTAACCTCTGTAACTTTTTTTTTTTACATGCTTTGTAATAATAGAATACGCTTTTTTTCTAAAAATATATGCCATTTACTTGAAAGAACAGGATATGATTCCACTGTGAAATTCTGCACACAGTCAGTCATGCTAAAAAAACCAACCCAAATCCCCAAAATATCATCCTGGAGACTACTGAACAAGATGACAAAATGGAAATTTCTGAAATTAGTGATGATGTGGATTTAATTTGATGTCTGCTAGGAACCAAATGGTTGTATGAAATGAAAATAAAAGTGTGTGTGTCTGTGTGTGTCTACATATATACATATGTGTAGCAAAGCAGACCATACTATTTGCTTACAATTTATATCCTCCTTACGGATTTCACAAATTGGAAAGTACTTCTGATTTCAAATGTCTTTTCTGAGTTTTCCAGCTCTAGAGAGTAGCAACCAATTTGCTTTCCCCTTATCCTTAGAGGAATATAACCTTTTCTATGCCTCCAAACTACACCCAGTACTTGGTTACAATTTGGTTTAATTCACTTGTAAAGCAATGCATAACAACCAAGCAATGAAAGGTACCTCTGTCCTGCAGGATACAAGACTGAAAAGGTGGTAGCTTTTCCTTTGTTAAACCTGTTTATATCGCACGACCATGGGACTGATTTGTTCTGGGAACAGAGGAAAATAATATTCCAAAAGACTCCGCTTGTTCCATTCTCATTCTTCACCCAGCAACGAGTTGCAGAGACAGATGACCGAGAAGAACCCTTGGAGGTCTCTGAGTGAGTGCAATAAATACAGCAACAATTTAAGCACTTTCTAACCTGGAGGCCACTGCATAATTCCACCTGATAACCAAGAAAACATTTTAGTCTTTGAATAGCTTGAATGTCACATCTGTGTGCAATGTTTTGTACCCATTAACCTGTGGGTAACCCACAGCACACCATATGCTGGTGCAGGCAGTACCCACTTCTACCTTGCAGCCTATTTCACTGGAAACTTTTCTCAGTGACTCTCTCCCCCCTGTGTTCAGTGTTTGTAATTCAATACTTAGGCAATTCTGGATGTGTAATAATATTCTAGATGTGGAATTAACAAGTACTGTTATTAACATCTTACATGTTTCACGTTTAAATTCCCTTAAACATGATGAGGGAGATCCCTCCAAAAATATTTAATTAGCTTTGGTTTTAGGCTGTAGGCCAGATGAAAACTAAATCAAAGAGTACTTTGAAACTCCTGCTTTCACTATAGGAATTTTATGTTCTGCAGTATGTTTTCCTTGTCCTAATTAATTACTCTTTAACACCCAAAGGTACAGCATTCC